AAAAAAAAAAAAAAAAAAGAAAGAAAAAAAGAAAAAAGAAAAAAAAGTGTAAACATAGGGTTACCATATCACCCAGCAATTCTCCCCCAGGTATATACTCAAGAATGGAAAACATACATCCTCACAAAATTTGTACATGAAAGTTCACTGCAGTATTATTCATTACACCTCAAAGTGAAAACAATCCAAATATCCAACAAGTGATAAATAAGTATATATATCTATATTTTTTTCAACTGGTAATCCATTTATTAAAATTGCTGACTTAAGCATCTGCAATGGTGACTTTCACCTCAACTCCTGGCTCAATACTGATGGAAGTCATCAGCTTGACAATCTCAGGACTGTGCAAGTCAGTGAGTTGCTTGTGGATTCTCATCTGGAAACGATCCCATGTCTTAGAACCTTCACCACAAGGAGTTTTTCTTGTAGTGATTCTCAAAGTCTTGGTAGGCATCTGAACTGGTCCTTTCACTTTGAGATTCTTTTCCTTTACTCCTCTGATCAAGTCAGCACACGCCTTCTCCAGGGATTTTATGTTGCGGTTTGTTAGTGTGATTTGAATCTGGTGAATTGCCACCTCCGGCTCCACAGGTGTTTTTCTGGTATCCTTAAAATCCATGGCTGCTGCGTGGCTTCCTGACCGACTTGTTCCTTGGCAAGAGCGAACAGCAATGAGCCAGGAGCAGGAGCGTGTGGACCAACAGTTATGACCACGTCTTCCTCAAAGAGCCTGTATATATATATATATATTTTTTAAGACGGGGTTTCACCATGTTGGTCAGGCTGGTCTTGAACTCCTGACCTCAGGTGATCCGCCTTCCTTGGCCTCCAAAGTGCTTGGATTACAGGCATGAGCCACCACGCCCGGCCTATATATATTTTTTTAGACAGAGTTTCCTTCTGTCATTCAGGCTGGAGTGCAGTGGTGTGATCTCGGCTCGCTGCAGCCTCTGCCTCCTGGGTTCCAGCAATTCTCTTGTCTCAGCCTCCTGAGTAGCTGGAATCACAGGTGCCTGCCACCATACCCAGCTAATTTTTCTATTTTTAGTAGAGATGGGGTTTCACCACATTGACCAGACCGGTCTTGAACTCCTCACCTCAGGTGATCCGCCCACCTCAGCTTCCCAAAGTGCCGGGATTACAGGCATGAGCCACCATGCTCGGCCTATAAATGAATAAATAAATGTATAAATCCATACAATGGAGTCTTATTGAGTAATAAAAAGAAATAGAGGTTGATACTTACTACAATACAGATTAATTGGAAAAACGTGTTAAACAAAGAACAGGCTGGGTGCAGTGGCTCATGCCTATAATCCCAGCACTTTGGGAGGCCGAAGTGAGCGGATTGCCTGAGCTCAGGAGTTTGAGGCCAACCTGGGCAATGTGGTGAAACCCCGTCTCTCCTAAAATACAAAAAATTAGCTGGGCATGGCAGCGTGCACCTGTAGTCCCAGCCACTCAGAAGGCTGAGGCAGGACAATTGCTTCGACCTGGGAGGTGGAGGTTTCAGAGAGCCAAGATTACGCCACTGCACTCCAGCCTGGGTGACAGAGCAAGACTGTTTCTAAAACAAAACAAAACAGAAACAAAAGAACATCATAAAGGAGCATATGTTACATGATTTCATTTATATGAAATGTCCAGTATAGGCAAATCTATAGAAGCAGAAAGTAGATTAGTGGTTGCCAGGGCAGGGGTATTTTGGAAAAAAAATGGGGATTGACTGCTAATGGGTATGGGGTTTCTTTTGGGAGCAGTGAAAGTGCCCTGAAATTGATTGGGGATTTGGTTGCACAACTCCAAATGTGTGAAAACCCATTAAGTCATACACTTTTTGTGT